TTCTTGTTGCGAGCCCCGGCCTACACCACAAAGGGGCGCAGGCGGCTCGCACAGGACACTGGAAGGGGCAGCATCCATGGCACTTTGGTATGGATCCCAATTCGTCGGTCACCGACGTGACTCAGAGTGACTGACTGAAAGGGAACGTCTCGGTTACGTATGTTCCCTGAAGGAGGGAACGAAGACGTCATGTCCCGTCGCCACGGCTGCTGTACCACCGCTGAGCGGCCGGGTCACCGGCTCGGCTCCTCAGCGAACACCTGGAATGCGTTACACGGGCTGCCTTTTTATGCTCATGCTGTGATCAGTGGCAGCTGGATGCAATCATCGCATGCCAATGTGCATTGGCTCGTTTAGTTTACATTCGAAGTGGATTGGTCTCTCTAAGCGAGATCCCAATTCGTCGGTCACCGACGTGACGTTTCCATTCCCTCCTTCAGGGAACGAGGGTTACATACGTAACCAAAGATGTTCTGAGCTCATATGTCATTTTACCCTCCTCTGTGACACTTGACATTCAATAACAGTTGTAAATTTTTTCCTGCCACGTTACAGCCAGTCTCTCACATTGATCCCGGGGTTAATAGATAACAAACATCATCCACTGATATATTTTCCTACCTTTTAAATTTAGGCTGAACCAATTTCATTGAGCAGCTATTTTTGTCATCTGTACAGAGAAAACTGCAACAGCAAATCATGACAACAGCCTGCATGAAATGAACTGATGATTTATGAGTTAGATACAGATGCTGTGTCCTGAACGCTCCATCACCGTAACCTCTGTTTCTCCTTGTTTTGCAGGGTCACTCCGCATCTACAGGTACATGAATCTGAGTTCCACCGGCCAGATGCCTGAGATGGAAGAAGTAGATACCAATGAGAGGTTAGAGCACCGTCATATGTCTGTTCCTTTAGCATGTTTTAGCCGACTTCAAGGCCCAAGATGGTTTATATATTGACCTGGTTCATGCATAAATCAATGAAAAGTGTTTTAAAGGGGTCCTATGATGTGATTTCAATTTTTACTTTCTCTTTGGAGTGTTACAAGCTCTTGGTGCATAAAGAAGATCTGTAAAGTTGCAAAGACTAAAGTCTCAAATCCAAAGTGATATTATTTGCATAACGCCACCCAAATGTTCACGCAAAGAAAGAATTATTCTCGCTGTAGTATTGTTGTTGCAGCCGCCGCCGCCATGTCGTGAAGTCGCTGTGTGTTTCGTTGTGAAAGCAAAACTACTTTGTTTGGCCTTCCAAAAGAGGACGATATCTGCTTCATCATGCCTGGAGCTGATCCGTGCTGGTCGCTGAGGAAATACATCAACTTCGCGCTGTGGATCGCCAGATCGGCTTTCACCGTGGACGAAGCGGAGTCCAGCCCGGGGTCGTCACATGTGGTTGCCGCAAGCCCGCCGGCCGCGCCGTTCTCTAGCCCGCCCGCCTCCGCCCACTCTAGGCCGCTGGCCGCCGCTCACTCTAGGCCTTCGGCCTCCGCTCACTCTAGCGTGTGTTTCGTTGTGAAAGCGAAACTACTTTGTTTGGCCTTCCAAAAGAGGACACGACTAGAAATCAGTGGTTTTATCGCATGCGATTTATCGTGCAGCCCTAGTTCCAGAACAGTACAACCCAAATATTCAGATGTGTCCAGCGCATTTTATGGAGGACTGTTTCCTGATCCTGGAAGAGTAGACTACAATGCCGGCTGTTCTGACTCACAGACTG